GAGGAGAGTTGGATTCAGGGAGCTCAAGAGTGCAGAACAGTTAGAGCCCTGCTTTGTCTTGCTGCGGATTTTGTTATCCGTTCATCCCTCTTGATGCTTTATAGCACTGGCTTCTGTTAGTATCTAGCATTAAGAGCCAGGACCTACTGTACAGTACAATGGGCCTGCAGAATGGAGTATGATATTGATTACTACAAACATTTTGCCTGGCTTAGGAAGGTAAGGCATTTTTCACTTGCATGTCTGCTCTTCATACCTTCATACTGCAGAAGCATTGCAACAGATTGTGTTTATTTTGCTCTTGCACTGTTGTTGCTTTAACAACATAATTATGGTTGTCATGGTACATAATTTGGGAGGAGGACATGTTTTGTTTGTGAGTTGTGCTGTGCTGCAGAATATGCAACACGTGCACTCTTATATACAAGCTCCTTGTGGACTGGAAAAGTTTATGGTAGGCTTTTCATTAAAGCTGTAATGAAATATTTTGTCATAACAGCAAAAATATATTTGAATGGATCCATGGTTGAGGTGACACTGGTCTGCAAAACTGGTCATAAGGTGAAAGTGTGAGAGTAGAAAGATAAATCGATATGCATGTCAGCTGAGATCATTTCCTGCCACTTACCTATAGGGAGTCTTTGGACAACACATACCATCTTGCTACCATAAGGAGGTCATTAGTCCTTACTGCCTCAAAAGGGTTATAATTCTTACTGAATGATAGACATACTTGTCAGTCATTATTAAGTACAATTTTCTCAGGTTCAGAATGTATAGAGGACATGTCAGCTATTACTTCATAATATACATACTATACACACTAGAGTATAACAGAGATATGACTGATATTCATGATATTGTTTGGAGATACACTATCTTTGGTAAGTATCTAAGTAACTAACTCTGACTAAAATACACAAGGTGCTTTACAAGAATCACATATATGAATATATGAAAACACACTGAATGATGAGAGAAATGAAAACACTCATTATTTAATGCAGTGCAGTACAATAGCCTAGCAATTTCTTCTCCTTCATCTTAGGTCAACCACATCAGAAACTTAAGGCTCAAAAAACACCTCTCTGACGGTGTCAACAACAATTACAATTGTGCAGTTTTACATAGAAAGTCTGGACTATTATTTGGGATTGAATTACAATGTATATATTATTATGGTCACTCATAGTAACTCTTGAAGATCAGTTTCAGTGCTGCTCATTAGACATAAACCTCAAGGGAGATTATTCATGTTAGAGTCCAAGGTTTTTTAAATTGGCTGAAAAAGTTTGAAAATAATTAAGCACACAGTAAGAACTAAGGGAGCTTCTCACAATTTAAAGTAAGCCAGGGTCTATTATTGTGAAATAAGAAAAATATCAAAGTGCCTAGAGGAGGGACTGTGTGGGGAAACAAACGCTATTAATCACAAAAAGTTAAGTAAAAAGAGTAGCTGTAATAACACTTACAGTATATTACACTGCTAAAACACATGAATCCAGAGTATATTAAAGGCTTAATGGCATTTAAAAATTATTGCAAACCGCTTGAGCTGGCAGGATGATGGACACTGGGCTACATAATGTTTCCATGATTGTGGTTAAAAGCCTGGATTTTTGAGAAATTTGAGCTCATTTGGTTGCACTTTACTTCCATCTGAAATATCTTTGACTACACAAGCAGCCCAGAGCTCAGCCTTCACCCAACATTTTTTTCCACTAATCAACCAGTATAAAATGTTGTACACAACTTTTAATGCTGGATTAGGACTTCTTGCAGACTTCTCCACACACGTCCCACTGACACAGTGAGAAGTTTGAGACCTTAAGAGTTGTGTGTGTGGCTACGTGGATCTGTGTGTAAGTGTCTTAGGCTGCAACCTCATTACGGAAAACCAAATTTGACCCACTGGGCAACTGTTTTGTATTAACAGTGTACTTACTGAACTTAATAGCTGACCTTTATTCGGAAGGTAAACCTCCATTCATCCGGCAACAGTGAGTCCTACCAGGAGTGGTTATCCCGTCTGGAGGGAGACAAAGAGTCACTAATTCTACAGGTGAGATTAGTCACTCCTAAATACAAAACAATATTATCTCTGTTTTGCTGTTTCTTTTTGTATAAAATGTAAATTACCTTTAAAAAAAGTTTACCCTAAATGATCCCTGGACATCCATTTATATAAGAATAATCAATCCTATTGGATATGAGCCTGCTCAAATAAAAGAGGACATATGACACCACACTGTTAGCGGGAGCTGATTCTACAAAGTGCTCATATCACGTAACAGTGTTAGAGGAGAGGGATGAGGAAAGGTAGGAGCAAGGGCAAAGGTAGATCAGAGAATTGTGTTGTAAATGTTGCGTAATTGCTGTATTTCGTTTCACTGCATAGCTCAAGCAACACTTATAAAGCTGGGTTTTTGGTGCTGTCACAACACTAGAATGTCCTGTTTTGTGTGATGTGTTTGTCTGTGTATATACGTGTGTAGGTGTGTGTGTTTATCAGGAGTGCTGCTGAACAAGTGCTTATCTCAGACAGGTTGAGGCTAGCAGCACCATGTGCTTTAGCATGTAGGTGTGTGTGAGAGCAGGTGCCCTGTTTGTTTCTTTAGGCCACACATAAAACATTCCTTTGGAAAATCCGCTCCAGTTGGCTGGTTGGACCTGCCTTTTAGCATGTGATTAGCTATTATGTGGCCTTAATAGTTTTTCTCTGAAGGTTTACATTTGTCCTGTGTTCTGCTGACATTGCTGGAGCCACTGAAGTGTTGCAAGCACCTACTGAGGCACAAAGGATCATTCATTTCTTCTCAAAGGAAATATTTGCACTGTTTGATCTGGCACAGATGTAGAAATTTCAACAAAAATGAGCACAGCAATTATGTGAAAATAGCTGATATTAATGTGCACTGTGAGAACCTCTATAGTAAAGGAGAGAATGAGGCCCAAAGAATTTTGCTAGGCCTAGGCTGTAATTATGTAATGAAATGTGAAACAAAATTGTGGAACAGCGAAACAGTTTTATTTTCATGGTTCGGTGTAGAAATATGATTCTCATCTCTACTTACTTTCTGTCCATGTATGCAAATACACACAGGTGAGTGTGCTGACAGACCAGGTGGAGGCTCAGGGGGCCAAGATCAGCGATCTACAGAGTTCTCTGGTGGAGCATCAGCACAAACTCGACTCCACAGAGGAGATGCTCCAGCAGGTACATAACTTTACAGACCTCAAATCAGACTCTACAAAACCTCAAACCAAAAAATCTTACATTGGACTCAATACCAAGTGTTTGATACATTGCTGGACCAAAATCAGGAAACTCTGACTTTTTACCAGGAGACATCCAGGGCTTTAATATCAATATTATTCTTCTCTATAATGAGATGTGACAGGGTCCCAGACTGTCCATCTGTCTTTAAAAAATGACCCTTCTGCAGATCCAATCTTAGGATGAGTTCTGCTTCCTGGGAAGAAATTCCAGAGTATCTGGCTGCTGATTACCTTGACAACCAAAATATTTAGCTCATTCCAGGACAGTGTCTCAGAGTGTATTTCTGGTTAATGCGGGGGCCAGCCTGCTCTGTCTGGGCAGGTGATTACAACACATTAGCCACACCCCTCAACCTGTAACCACCAGAAGTGAGTTCCTGCATGCTTACACATACACACACACACACACACACACAGAGAAAGAGAGAGGGACAGAGAAACAGAGAGAGAGAGAAAGATGGAAAGAGAGGGAGAGGTAGTCTTTTACTAAAATGGTGTCAGTGTTAGAAGTATCAATCAAAATGACAGAAAAAAAGACAGGAATTACACAAATAACCACAAACATACACACACAGATAAACACACACACAACTACACACTCTGTCTCTGTCTCTCTCTGTCATGCACCCATGCAGACATATAATCACTCCCACCACCACCAAATAGACAAAATACACACACACACACACTCACAGTCCCTCTCTGTGTCTTTCTCTTTCACACTCACACACACAGCGAAGCAGCCGGTGTGAGTATGAGTGATGGTTGCAGCTCGTGTCTATCCATTACAGCGGTCTGGCTGCAGACAGGTGAGCAGGCTGATACATGAGCAGGGCTTTATCTGCACTCACCGACTCCCCACGCCGTTTCATTCAGCGGCTCGCAGAGTTAACAGCCTCGACCACCACCCTCCCTCCCACCCTTACCTCCCCGCACACACACCCCAACACTACCTTCATCTCCACAAAGAAAGGGGATTTTAAAAATGCAGGTACAATTTAAATATAATTTCATTATCAGAATTTCATATTAATGATAGCCGAAGGAGAAACATGAGCTGGGTGTTATCTGCACTCCACACCGACCCAATCGCTCACTGTTTTCTTTCACTGGTAATCATACACACACAGCAGGTGAAAATATATTTACGTGTGCAGTTTGAGAGAAATAAATTAATTAAATGAAATTAATTACCTTAAGTTCATAATTCAAGTTAAAGCATAGAGGACTTCCAAATACAGTTCTTGCAGGCAGGATGAAAAAGTAGCTATATTTGTTGGGTGTCACCTTTTTAAATTATCTATATGTCATACTGAAATCAG